CAACCCAAGAATATCAATTTTTTTTTCCCTTGCATAATCTATGATCGCTTTTAGCTTATTCTTGTTATTTTTTAATTCATTGATATTGTGAAACCCAATGTTCATCATATAAAATTGTTCATATCTGTCTTTCTTCCCCAATGTCCCCATCTTCCTTCATTCTCCGGAGACACAACCTCGCCTTTACTCTCAAACCCTTTGTTTGTTTCTAGAGGTTTCATTGTTGCATCTGGGGCGCCCTTAGAAGCGATCCGCAAGATCGTCTCTTGTAGATATTCTATGAGATGAGCTGTCTTGACCTTCTAGCTTGTCCAGTCTGCCTATAATTTGCAGTAGCATGGATTGAACTATATCCTCTTGAGTTGGCTGACTCTTCAAAGCCCCCTCACTGTAGTTTCTGTAGTTGGGTTTTATGTTTTCCTTATTTTTGTTTCTTTTGTTCAATAATGAAGCAGGAGGATCTAATTTGTTAGTTGCTTTGATTTTGCTATCTTTATTCCGAGTATAAGAATTTTCTTTTCTCTTTGCTGCACTTTCTCTTTCCTGTTTAAGTAAACGATTTCTAGATCTTCCTCTTTTGCTGGAGGCGAAACTGTTAGATTCTTCTTTTATACCGTCTGTTGTACCCCATTCTAGTCTTGTATTGTAGTAATATATTCTTTTTGCTAGTGCGACTAGTAGCTCTTCTTCTGATTTAAAAACCACAGATGCTGTGCTTCTTTGATTTTTGTTCCGGTTGTGCGAAATATACACTGCTTGTGCTTTGACTGGCCTTAACTGTTTTAGCAGCATAGTTACGAGGGCTGTCTTTGGGATATTTTTTAGAATTGCTTTAAATTTTCCTCTTTTATTTAGAATGGACCTGTCGAATACTCCTTTTGACAATCTTAGCATCTTATCCTCTTCGAAGTGCACAGCTCAGGCATTTATAAACATAGCTTTTCTTCTCTCGTTCCAGAAAGTTATGTTGAAGGAGATGGCTTTCTTTGTTTCTACAAATTCCCAGTGTTTAAATTGTACTCGGCCATAAAAATGCAAACATCTTTGCACTTTCGTTGCTTTAACTTCTGCTGGTATGTTCCAAAGTGTATAACAGATTTTTGAAGCCTCTGTATCTTTGACTCCATCTTTAATAGTTTCTATAATATCTATCTTCGGAGTATTGTCTCAGGTATCCACATTAGTAGATTTAACAGGCCGTGATTCTGTATTGTGTACTTTAGATATGTCAAATACTTGGACTATATCTTCTTCTTTTTTGCAGGTTTTCTTGATTTCCCTTTTCTTTTCTATTGGGCTCGCACTTCTTTTTCTTGGTTGAATATTAGTTTTGTACTGTTGCGACTTTAATTTTTCTTGTATACCATAATCTGACGTGCCGCATTTCTGGTTAACTAATATCTCCTTTCTTTTTTCACTTTCATTTGAGTCTATTAGGTCTATTGGTCAAGCATTCTCTCCATTTTTGATTTTCAGATACTCTAACCAGTTATAAGTTTTAATTAAATACCTAAACAAATATATTAGTTGTGGCTCGGCTTCTACAAAAGCTGCTATTTCATTGTCTTTTCTAAGACATTCTACTAGGTGCTCCTCTTTGAGCATGTTAAACTCATTTGTTGATTTTTTAAAAATGTTCTTGTACTTGTTTATCTTGTGCCCCCAGTCTATCTCTGTGACTTCTGGCTGTTCAGTATTCATTTTGTGTATGTGACTCATATTAACAGTTATTGTAATAGCTACTTTATAGTGAAATTATATAATTTCAACTCAGTATGTATCATATATGTTTTTACATGTTTTTAACATGATTTCACGTGTAATTTTTTTGCAGAAGCTTCTGTGTTACTGCATGTTGGTGTTTGCAGTAATTGTGTTATACCAGGGATCAGTGCTACAGAGTTAACGCTGTTTTTTCAAATGTACAAAAATATCGAGTTTTGGCTTTATACTAAGATATTTGACTGCTTTGCTTCTTCAGACTGAAGATGTGCTATGATTTACAATTAGTTTAGCTTTCTTTACTGTACTGATACAGCTTTGTTGCCTATACTGAGCTGGACTCCAGTTTGCCTGAGTTTTGTCACTATGTGCTTTCTTTAATTGAGAAATACTGTTTTCCTCACTTGTTTAAACTACTACCAAGTAATTAATCTAGTATAGGCCTGTGTTTAAAGCCTTTTTCTATGTTCTATTGAGTTTGTTGATGTTTTTGTCGCTTCTTTCTATTGTAGAGTTTACTTTTTGCCTTCTGCTAGTTTTGTACCAAGTGATTGTCAGATTGATATTTATAGATATTGTATTCAGTAGTTATAAGTAAGTTATTATGTAAATAAAGAGAAGTTGGTAATAATAAAGATAAAGTAGGTAAGTTAGGTTCAATCAGTTAGAAACTAGTTTGAGTAATCTTATTTATATTAAAGAAAGGTAATTGTTTAGAATATTTTATTTGGGATCAAGTAAATTAAAAAATTAAATAAATATAGAAGAGTATCTTGAAAGTTAAAATGATTTTGTAGTTCAGAAATAGTTCTTTCAATATGTTTAAACTTTATAATTAAGATTTGGATTATATATTGCAGATTGGTTTGTTTTAAATAAGCAGTAATTTTAAAAATCTAAGAAAGAAGTAGTGGTTTTGTAAATAGGTCAAAACTAGTATGAATCTCTATCTAGTTGGCTAAAATTTGGTAAAAAAAATAGAATTCTTTTAGAAGTCATACTATTTCTACTAATGCTTTTGAACTTCTAATTAGAAAAGTTAAATTAACTTCAGTAATAAGATTGTATTCATTTAGAAGTAAAGATTTGTTAGTAATATTAGTAGTCATATAAATAAGAGATAGTAGCATATTAAACTTGTATTTGTCTTGTATTTTAGCAATAAATTTTTTAGCCAGATGGAAGTTAGTAATAGGGAATATAAAAATTTTGACAGTTTTAATTAAGTATAGATTTGCAGAGAGAGATTTCTTTTAGATGAAATAGTTATTAGAAATACATTTAAAACTATAGTGTTCTATGAGTATATTAATATATTTTTAAAATTTTGAGGTATCTACAGGGTTGCAAAAAAAAAGATGTCGAACTGCTGAGTTGAGGTTTTGAGAAGTAGAAAGAAGCCATGGTCTGGCTTCAGGTAAGTTAAAGTAGTTTGAGGATATTCTTTTTACTATATAGTATTTTATCAATTTTTGTCGATATTCTAAGAAATATAGCAAACAAAAGTATTCAGTAATAGAGAAAAGATCATGAATTCTCAAGTATAGATTTAAGAGATTGTTCAGAAGTGGTTCAAGAATAATAACAAAATAGCTATTAGGAAGTTGTTTAAAAGAAATTTTTTTTTTAAATATAAGTATAGTAGTTTTGGTATATTTTTAATCTTGAATTAGTAAAGGAAAAGAGAGTATTTGTTGAATAAACAAATCTATTTGAAGTAGATTCTAGGGTAGAGGAATTAGTAATAATATATGAGTTTTATTAAGCAAGCTTTATATGTCTTCAAAGCTAAGCAAGCAAGCTATTTGTACAAAGTTAAAACAGTAAGTAATTGTCTAAGTACAATTGTAAGGATTATTGGTTACAAAGTCTAAATTGCAAATAAAATCTATAATAAGTTTACTTTAAGTTTCAGGTATATTTGATCTCTGTTATACTTGTTTATAAAGCAAATATTATATATTTTTTTGTATTTTTCAATTACTATTTGTAGAAATGAATTGAATTTTTTCTAATATTAAGGCTGAACTTTTTTGTTTTTTGTAAAAAACTTGAAAAATGTTAAGTCAAAGTATTTAAACTTTATTTTAATAGCTTGGGGTAAGTTATATTGTATTAGATTAGTTTAAATCTTATAAATAAAGAATTGTTAAAGTGTTTCTGCAGATAAGAAGGCTTTTATAATTGTATTATTGTGACATATTGTTAAATCAAAGTCTATAGTGCAGATTTTGGCCAAGATAACAGCCACTAAGTTATATTAGATAAGCAAATGATCTTCTTTTCAGTTGTGTTTAAGAAGGTTAGAAGTGAAGATCCTGCTATATAACTTTTTTGAAGGTGCTATAGATTCAATTGTGGCATTGAAATAGGTATCTATTTTGTTTTTGGGGTTTATACTTGTTGTTGGGCTGTAGTAATTGTTAGTTTGGGTTCTAAAAATTGGTCTGAATTAAGTTAGAGAACAGATCAAGTATTTTGGAATAGTCTATATCATTGTTGTTGTCTGAAGTATGATGATCTGTATGTTATTTTCTATAGTTGTTTGTTTGTTTAGATTATGTTAATCTGTTGTGATAATTATAGGCTAGACTATAGTACCAAGTTTCTCTATATTGATTTGTAAATTTCTATACTTGTTTGTTTGTTTTGTTGTGATACTTTTACTATATATGTAATTACATACACAGGTACGTACATAACTTTGAAGATTATTAATTCCTGCGAACCTATCATGAATATCTATTTTACTAATCTTATTTGACTACAAACCAAAAAAATTGCAACTATGTATGTACGTACGTAAGTACGTGCTTACAAAGATTTTCTTTGTTAATTCCGGATTCTCGAGATTAAAATTCCGGAATTATTTCTTCGATGCAACAATTCTCCGACAATTTCTCTGATATGACTATTTCCCGATAAAAACTATCGCAAACAAAAAAAAAAAAAAAGCCAATAAAAAGGTTTGAACGAACAAGTACCTATTGAGGTTCTCCATTGGGTCCGTTGCCAATCCTGCCGGTAATCCCTACTTCAAAAATTCTACCCTAACTCTTACTTTAAATAATACGTAATCTTTATATAGTGGTCAGATCTTACATATCGATATTTTTCTAGGGTGTCCTATATCACAATAAATCAAACTATGTTAGCAAATTTGTAAATCCGCTAAGTGCGGATTTTTTGATGTTACACGAGCATCAATTCCTACTTCATAGGCAGACATTCGTATGATTGGCTGTTTAAATCAATTTAATTTTACATTATTTATACGTTTAAAGTACTTTTTAAAAA